TCCAATTAATTGTACGTTTGTTACCATCCGTCTCAATGCATCTCTTTTATTATACGGATATTAGTTTTTGTCCATCGTCTATTAATGGATGAACAGTATCCAGACCTTGTACCTATGGGTATCTTTGAAATATTTTGAATCAAAGTTTTAAATTCAGTTACTATTGTCATTTTATTCTTAATATCGATAATGTATTGTACAGGATAAGACATCTATTAAAGCAACGTCTGTTCACGCTCCGATCATAGATATGTTCGCACTTCTTTCAAACATCTGTTCACGCTCAGTTCACACTCCGTTCAAATATATGTTCAGGCCCATTTCAAACATCATCTGTTCACTCTCCTTACAAACATCAAACATCTGTTCACGCTCAGTTCACACTCCGTTCAAATATATGTTCGCACTTCTTTCAAACATCTGGTCACGCTCCGTTCAAACATCTGTTCAGGCTCCTTTCAAACATCTGTTCATTCTCCTTTCAAACATCTAATCACACTCCGTTCAAATATATGTTCAGACTCCTTTCAAACATCTGTTCACTCTCCTTTCAAACATCTGTTCACGCTCAGTTCACACTCCGTTCAAATATATGTTCAGGCTCCTTTCAAACATCTGTTCACTCTCCTTTCATACATCTGTTCACGCTCAGTTCACACTCCGTTCAAATATATGTAAAGGCTCCTTTCAAACATATGTTCACTCTCCTTTCAAACATCTGTTTACGCTCAGTTCACACTCCGTTTAAATATATGTTCAGGCTCCTTTCAAACATCTGTTCACTCTCCTTTCAAACATCTGTTCACGCTCAGCTCACACGCCGTTCAAATATATGTTCAGGCCCCTTTCAAACATATGTTCACACTCCGTTCAAATATATGTTCAGGCTCCTTTCAAACATCTGTTCACTCTCCTTTCAAACATCTGTTCACGCTCAGTTCACACTCCGTTCAAATATATGTTCAGGCTCCTTTCAAACATCTGTTCACTCTCCTTTCAAACATCTGTTTACGCTCAGTTCACACTCCGTTCAAATATATGTTCAGGCTCCTTTCAAACATATGTTTACTCTCCTTTCAAACATCTGTTCACGCTCAGCTCACACGCCGTTCAAATATATGTTCAGGCCCCTTTCAAACATATGTTCACACTCCGTTCAAATATATGTTCAGGCTCCTTTCAAACATCTGTTCACTCTCCTTTCAAACACCTGTTCACGCTCAGCTCACACGCCGTTCAAATATGTGTGCAGGCCCCTTTCAAACAAATGTTCACACTCCGTTCAAATATATGTTCAGGCTCCTTTCAAACATCTGTTCACTCTCCTTTCAAACATCTGTTCACGCTCAGTTCACACTCCGTTCAAATATATGTTCAAGCTCCTTTCAAACATATGTTACCGCTCCTTTCAAACATCTGTTCACTCTCCTTTCAAACATATGTTCACGCTCCTTTCAAACATTTGTTCACGCTCGCTCAGTTCACACTCCGTTCAAATATATGTTCACGCTCTGTTCAAACATCTGTTAACAATCAGTTAAAACATCTGTTTACACTCCGCTCAAACATCTGTTCTCGCGCTCCGTTGAAAATTATGTTCAACCTTTGTTCAAACATCTGTTCTCACGCTCCGTTAAAATATCTGTTCACGCTCATACAAACATCTGTTCACGTTGAGTTCAAATATATGTTCAAGTTCCATTCAAACATCTGTTTACGCTCGTTTAAAACATATGTTCACGCTCCTTTTAAACATATATTTACGCTCCGTTAAAACATCTGTTCTCACGCTCCGTGACAATATCTGTTCACGCTCAATACAAACATCTGTTAACACTCCGTTCAAACATCTGTTCAAGCTCCTTTCAAACATTTGTACAATCTCCGTTCAAACATCTGTTCGTGCTCTTTTCTGAACGTCTGATCAAGCTCCGTTCAGATATCTGTTCACGCCGCTCCTTTCAAACATCTGTTATCACGCTTCGTTCAAACATCTGTTCTCACGCTACGTTGAAACATATGTTCACGCTCATTTGAAACATCTGTTAACGGTCCGTTCAAATATCTGTTTACGCTCCGTTCCAACATCTGTTCACGCGCCTTTTAATCATCTGTTCACACTCCTTTTAAACATCTGTTTACGCCCCGTTGAAACATCTGTTCACGCTCATGTAAAACATTTGTTAACACGCTCCGTTCAAACATCTGTTCACGCTCTATTCAAACATCTGTTCACGCTCTATTCAAACATCTGTTCACGCCCCGTTCAATTTGTTCACGCTCCGTTCAATCTGTCGTTGAATGACAACATGTCTGGTCTCCGTATCCGAAAAACTCAAAAATATAAAAAAAACTAATTTGGTCCAATGTATGGTTTGCCATGTATAATTTAATACTCGTTTCAAAGTAAAAGCTGACCGTTTTAGCACTGTACAGAGATATTCAACATGATCAATTTTAATAATTGTGACGGAATGATCTATAGGAATATCATCTGGCATGTATTCAATTATTCAAGAAACAATCTCTTATTTATAAAAAGGGCTGAAATGGTTAAGTATTTGTGGTAAAATCTTTTCGAATATATGATAAAATAGTGTTAGTCGAGAAAAAATATGAGTATATTTAATTTTAATTTTGTAGTTATCCACACGTATAACTTTTGACTTATTGTGGTATAGCACATAACTTAATTTCAGCAGATAAAGCAAACATATATATTTCCATACATTATCTTACTAAAATATGAAAGTGCGGGGTATTGTTTCTTATATCATTTTAAGAAAAATGAGATTTCGTTTAAATATTTAGTGCCAAATAGTTTTCAGGGACAAGTCTTTGTTTCCTTGCGCAAGAAACTTTACACTCATTGCTCAGTACTGGTTGGTTCCAGGAACGGATTCGAAAGTGTGTCTATAAGCTTATAGCTTCGTACACCATCGAACTAAAATAAATTCAGTATAAACCAAATAGTTTTCAGATCATTTGTAGAGTTAATAAATACATATAAAACATAAAACTTCATCATATAAAGTGTAAAAATAGCATTCTATGGTGTGTTTCCATCAATGTAACATAAAAATATATGTAGTTTTTTATAATATTAAGTGTTCATAAACAAAACTTTAAAATAAGTTCTTACCATGTAATGATAAATTATGTCTAAAACTGTTCAAGAATTTAAATATCAATGATTTTTGGGTAGAACAAAATAAAAACATTTACAATGTATTTTGAATTAACATAGCACACTCGAATGGTTAAAAGGAAATGATGTTTCCTTAAAATTACAACAAAGGAACATTATTTTAAGAGAGTCCTATATTCAATTATTTCATTACTATTTTTGTACACTTTTTGGCTGTTCAAACATAAGACATTAATCAAATCCAATAGGAATGGTGAAACATAATATGATATGCAAATATTATAATCTGTTATGTGGAAACAAAGTGAAAAGGAGATATTTACATTGTAGTTTAAACATATTTATTTTAGCTTAACTGCGAATAGTTCTTGCAACTTATATTTATTACTTTCGAGTCCGCTTCCTGGAAGTAACCAGAGGAAACAGGATCGTGACCCGAATATGACTCGAATCCAACACACCTGGGTTGAGAGGCAGAAACCTTAACCACTAGGCCACCGCTCACCTTAAAAGGAGATATAAAGCAACAAAACAAATATGGGGGTGTTAGCATACAAGTCTTACATTCGATGATTTAAAGATCGTGTAACTCAATTTATTATGGTTTTATATCATATATAGTATGCTCACATGAAGATTTATCAATATTGTAAGTTCCAAAGAAGCATTATTTATAAAGATATTACCGAATTTACATTTTATGTTAATAAAGGGAGTTAATTAGAAATTTATTTTCCATAAAGTCTGAGTCAAATTTTTCAATAAGAAATGAATGCATATATTTTAATGATTACATAATTATAATGTGGAAAAATATTTGCAGTACATAATTATTTTACATATTCTTCGATGTTTGGAAATTGTTTTAGAAACATAGTTATATACATATATAAAATTTCACTTAAGTGTGGTAACAACCTTAATTACAACAAACAGGATCTTTAACCCAAAGAAATACTTGAATTGATTTTTGATCGTAATAGAATACTTTCAGATTATTACTTTCACATCATCGACATCATCGTTTACGTTATGATATATGGTTGCTGTAATTACATGCTTTATCACGTTAGTATCACAATGCATTACATAGATTTAAATTGAACATTTTATGATATTTATTTAGTTTAAACGCCGAGCTGACATAGTAAATGATAACTGTACAGGCGTCTCTAACAATTATTTTTTCAACTCAGTATGAAATGTTTAATCATCTTTCTAAATGCTAATATAGAAAATGCACTTAATAGCAAATAGCGAATTAATTTCGGCATTGCTAAAAATGCTCAAAAAATTGTTGTTAAATATAAATTCCCAAAAGAAGTTTTAATTGATATGAAAATTGGTAAGGAAAATACATTGATTGACAACATTGTATCAATATAGGTAAAAAAAAATAAAAACCATAAACCCTACGTTCGGATGAACGCGATGCTCCGGGTCGGACCTTGAGTTAAGACCCGGTCAACTCTAAATAGGTATAGCGGGTAGATCTCATCAAGGTCTATGCACATGTGATGTTTTTGGGCTATAGTTAGGATAACTTCTGTGCTATGATCAAGGTTAAAGTTTTGAGACAAACGGACTGCCAAACAGACAGACAGACAGACCAAACACAATATTCCACATCGATCGGCATAACAATCCGTGTCAATTGAAATAATTTGTTTTTATATAATTTAAATACGCTACGTACAAACATTCTGTCTAAACACTTCTTGTACATCTTGTAATATTGTACATTTCTGTTAGTAATGTCCTATTTTATATTTCTACCAAGAAATAAAGAAAATAAGAGAATTTAATACATTTCTAGAATCACCTGTAATCACGTTCTCTCACGTGATGGCTCGAGTATTTGCCTCCACACAGGTGATCAAAAATAACGCGGAATGTTAGTGAAATAACTTCAATTTCCTCTTGCGTTCGTTAGTGGTTTTGCGTTTAAGGAATACATTTGCCGTCTGCAATAATAAATGATTGTTTTTCAATTGATTTATTTGGTTGTGTGTATCACATAAGATTCGAATAATATACTGTAAACGAGTAAAAAGAAGGAATAATGAAAATGCTTATGAATATCAAAGAAACAAAAAGCTGATTTATTTTTGTTTTTCTGGAAATATTGTTCTAACATTAAGACGGATATACTATCTGTGATTTATTATTTGGATATATTTATATCTGTTGAAAACAATTCAGAATGGAATCCGAGGACGAAAATAACGAAATATTTCGTCAGCCGAAGAAGCAGAAGTCAGTTCGTATCGTAGACGACAGACCGGATATAGTTGAAATAAAAGAGAAGCATTCACCTTTATATAAATCTATTCCTAAACTTCCAATCGGTGCCGCTGTGACATTGTGCATTTTAAACATTGTTGTTCCAGGTTTGGGTAAGTTTTACTGTCATTATAAACTTAAGCACATTCCTCATACACTAGTGAATAAAACGTCAACGTAAACTTTTATATTTTTATTTGAAAAAAAAAGAACGCAAATATCTTTACACATAAGAATGAATTATTTTTAAATATGTATGTCACGTGATATTGCTAATTATAATTATGTATTATATTAAAATCGAATAAATACAATCAGCATTACCACACATACATATTTTGTTACCAGTACATTGACAGTTATTATATGATTAAACGATGAAAGTTCTTTTTAATAAAACGAAATAATTCTGAAAATTGTATATTCCTAAACAAAGCTTAAAAAGATCACATTCCTGTGGATATATTTAGAATAGAAAATAATACTATATTTTTTCCGATATATGTTGGTAATGATGCGATGGCATTCTTTCATCAAATACAGAATATTTAATATTATTGTTGACGTACATTGATACATTTTATGCCGGAATACAATATTTTGCTATTTTACTTCCTGTTCGTGAAAAGATAAATTCGATAATTACATGTCCGAGAGAAACTAGTTTTATCTTGAAAAATAAATATTAAAATTTGTAATCTTCTACCATTTCAAGCAAATGTCTAGAAAAATGATATCAAATCATCTGAAATACCTGAAACAAAGTTACCTCACCTCTTAGATCTCGATAATTTTGCAGGAGAGAAAAGATATAAATTTTGTTCTGACATACGGAAGCGATTATAATGAAAACTAGGTCACGTTTCCGCATCTTCTATAACTTTAACTCCATATCTATTGGGAAGAATAGAAACAAATATCTTTATGAGTATTATGAGCTTGATGTGATCTTGATTCAAAACTTCATATTGATGTAAACTTCATCTGAAAAACTGTTTATATTAAGCAGAAAAACTCGAGTTGTTGGTTATTTTGTGCCGAATTTTAAATGCTTGGATTGATTTCTGTCATTTTGTACTTTTCATAATTTATTGGGAAATACAAGCAGTTAATCTGTTCCAAGCGTGTTACACATATACATTTGTAAATGATAATATTTACCAGACATAATGCTTCAAACACACGTTGTGAATGTACTTTAAGATTCAGTTTATTATTTGTTTCACTTCTCTAATGGGTTCACAAAATAATACATTAAACAGTTTTTGCATTCTTAACAAAACTGAAACACTTCATATCAAAATATTACTGATATCATTTATAAAATAAATTAAGACTACAAAAAACTGTTTTTATATTTTCTACTTAGCTGGCTGGAAACAGACAAAAACACATAGAAGTACAAGCAGTTCGTTGTTGAAGCAATTCCGTGAAGTAAACAATCGTCTAACAAAATGTTCTGTGACACTTAGCATCTGTTTTTATATCATTGCCAACAAGCATTCACTTACGTTAGTCTGAATCTATTGCCAGCATGTAGCTTTTTACTTAAAACAGATTTTAATCTTGTTGCCTGTAATCTACAAACATCTAGACAGTATACAAGACGTTGATTTAATCAGGGAGTAAATTATAACAGCCTGAGACGCTTATCACCCGGATTTAAGATTCTGATTTAAATATCATGAACCGGGTCTAAGAAAACTATTTCAAATTGTCTAGCATTTTATCAGAAATTAGATGTTTACTTTCCCTTTTAACCCCATTACTGTAAGTGCCTTTTGTATGTGTATTTTTATTTATGAATATGTGCTTCGTGCGATGTTCAATTTGTATTTCTTAGTAAAATTAAGATATGTTATAATTAGATATGTTATAATTATCAGAATGGTGTTTTTTCTGTCTATCACAATATCGCTGTTCTATATTTTGTGACATAATGAACATTGTAGTTTTTTTATAACTTCCTTTTGTTCCATTATGATTCAGTATACTTTTTTCAGAGGACAAACAACATAAAATAACGCTAGATAAATCTCCTTTTATATGCATGTCAATATGGTATGAATAATAGAAACATACAACTATTTTACATACAAAATGTCATGGAAGAGACGAGTTGACACATAACAAATACGTTACTACGTCTCTAAGGTATTCTTTTAATATCATTAAGAATAATTGTTAACTCATTTGCATAACAGAAAAAAAATATTTTAATGAAATATATAAAAAAAAAAATACAACAAAACATTTCTTATTCCAAATTATGTGTGAGGCCATGTTTTAACATTGAAAAGTCGATTTTGGTCAATTCAAAGATAATTCATCACTTTCTGTTAAGGAAAGCGAAGGATATTACTAATGTCATTCACCCTTGTGCAAAAGGGGTTGCCTTTAAGGGTTGAGGCATCAGAAATGCAGCCACCCTTTATCCCTGTCTGAACCTAAGAGGCAATGAAATGAATGCGAATTACTGGAGTCTATGTATAACTAAGCTCCGGCAGGTGAGGTGGTTTTGATCGCTGGCGTTGCTTTAAGTTTGTAACACCAGAGATTAGCCAAACTAATCGTTCGTGTCTCAGCCCCATATGACCTAAATAGTGCTGGTGCGCCGTAAAACCAAACCAAACAAACAAACTAATGTCTTTATTTCAGTATTGATCCCCAGTATTACATCAGGCACATAAAACTAGAACATGCTAACTTTGATGTATGTGTAAGCTTTAAAAAGGAAGTAAGGAACGCTTGTTTAATGGAATTAGCTTGACAAATGTCTCTTTTAAAACAACGTATTTATTCTAACAGACATAAAAAATCAAATTGCCATCAGCATTGCCGTTTGTTTGAAATAACGGTCTCAGTACGGCATCAATAAGCGTGGGCGAATTAGCTTAGATTTTCCATCAGAAAACAACTTTTGTAATTACATGCTCACTTACTTGAACTTTCAATCCTTTGATATATGGTTTTAATATTCATTCAATAACTAACGTGATTTATCTATTAGTTTATTGTACTTAATGGTTTTATTTTGAATTTTAAGTTATTTTGCACGTAAGAATTGACTCTGAAAAAGTGAAATGAATAGAAAAATATTGATAAACAGATTTTTGTACACAAAATGTTGAGATTATCACAAATTTAATGGATTTTACCATTTTTCATTCATATTTGTATTTACATAAAATAATAAATTTGACTGCGGACAATATGTTGTCATTAATGTCATCAGACGAAATGATGTAATAATATAGTACTTCCTGTTACAATGTTTACACATTGGCGGCTGATCGAATTCTTATTACTTTTATCATTACTGTTCCAATACGTTGACGTGATATTTAAACATTAAAACTATAAACGTAATTACCGCGATTTTAAGCTTAAACTATTCAGTTTTGCACAAAGTCCGCATAATTTGGATTTGTCTCTGCTTAATTTGGTTCCAACAGGCCAGGAAAAAAAGGATTACATCCTCTTTGAAAACGCAAAGAGGAAGATTTGTTTCAAGTGCAGGACGTGTTATTATTTTTAAACGTCTAAACTACGTCGTTTATCGAACATAAATACAACATTTAGAGAAATAAAAATATTGCTCCCGTCTAGAAATTTGTTTTTCCTTATTTCCAGAATGTTAATCATTCTAGTAATTTATAAAATGTGAAAACCAACAGTTCATTTGAGAATAGCGCAATATATCCAGATGGTAATTTATTAGTCACGTGTCTGCATAAATATGTATTATATGTACATGTACATGTAATGGATGAGACTTAACCAAAATACTAAGTATGTTTTGAAAGTGTTATATTCGTAGTGACTTTCTATTAAAAGGGATCACATTTTTACAATAATTACGAAGTAACGGTAAGTCATAAGTAGACTGCGCTATTGATGATTTTTTAATCATCGAATTAAAGTTATGTGTATGTCCACAAGTAATGATTATAGACAAATATTCACTGAAAACCATCAACAGAGGTGTAATAACTTGCCAAACGAAATTATTTTTATCTTATTATATCAAAGCATATTTTCTATTTCAACGTTTTTCTCAAACAATAAAAATCTTATTTCAAATATTCTTAAATACCAAGCTATTTTCACGTTTACGTAAGCTCAACAAAAACCCGTAATTTTTATACTTAAAAAAAACTTATTTGTTTAATTAAATAATTTAAGTTAGGTTTGTGCATTTTTGTACATTATTTATTATACAACTTCTAAATTTCATATCAATTTGATCATAACAAACAAAAATTTGCCGCATGGCCCCTTTTAACAACAGTCACAAATATTAAGCAAAAACAATAGAGTTATAGATAAAAATCAAAGCAGTAGTAACAATGAAAGCTACGTCTTTTCTACCATTATTACTTTGAACGACCTATTTCAACTTGTAAACAAAAATTATATTAGTCGTTTCTTATTATTTACATTTTTTGTACATAATTCTTAACAATTATTTTTTTTTGTTTAAAATAATAAAGCTATGTTAATTTATTGATACGTAGAAAAAACTTTTGTTTTCGGGCTGATATGTATATGGTTATCAGTATGCATCGATCAGGAATCTCGATGTGAACTTACCGACACAATAACCACGATTGTAACTTTGATTAACCGCAGTCACACTAAAAATTTCAGTTTTTTTCTTGGAAAAAAATGTAAACGAGACATGATTATACGAACTCATACATATTCATTGGACAAGAAAATATGCAAATGAAGAAATCCTTCATTTGCATACATTAACTGCAATGAAGGTAAATCAAATTATGGAAATGCTAACCTATCTGATTATGTTATCTTCTCTTTTTTTTCGTTTGCTTCATGATGTGGTTTCCATGAACTTTTAACTAAATAGGCAAGCATTCAAATATCATATATATTACAGTAGAAGAAGAAAAGAAAATATACACTATTATTGATCATCATTATATTAACAAACCGAAAAAGAAACATCTGTTCAAGTAGAAACATCTATCTAAAATACATCTTTCTTTCCAAATAACAAAACTGCTCTTTTTGACTTCTTTGCCGAGGACTCCTTTTATTGATTACAGTACTGATATGTATTGATATATGCTTTGCTAAATGCATGTTTCGT